GGTATCGAACTCAAAGTTGGTGTGGCATAACATGGCTGTATGAAGAACATGCTTGACTAATCATAACGTGAAAATCATGACATGTATGTCATGAATGCTATGATTGACATTTCACGGTCCTGCAGCTCTTGCGGAGGTTTCGTTCACAAGGCATGTTGAAAAAATGGTATGGTATGATATGATTGCATGGCAAACACAAGCGACATACCCTAACATGAAAATCATGACATGCGTGTCATGTAACAACATGACTACATGTGACGCTTATGATGCACTCACTGTCGTTTCGCCTGCGTCACATACATCAAATTTGGTATCACGGTACGTGAATGGATGACGAAGGTATGTGACTGGTGCAAGCATGGTAATCATGAGATGCGTGTCATGTAACAAGATGACTACATGCCACGCTCATGATGCGCTGGCGGCTGTTTCACTAGCTTCACTTATAAAAAATTGTTATTACGGGACGTGAATTGATGACGAAAGCATGATACTGGTGCTAACATGATAAACATGAAATGTGTGCCATGTGACAACATGATTATATGCTATGCTCATGATGCGCTTTCCGCCGTTTCGCTAGCGTCACATAATCGGGAATGGATGACAAAGGTAGGTGACTGGTGCAAACATGATAATCAGTCAGGAGATGCGTGTCATGTAAGAACATGACTACATGCCTCACTGATGATGCGTTCGCGGCCGTTACACTAGCTTCACATATGCAAAACTTGGTATTACGTGACGCCAATGAATGACGAAGGCATGTGACTGGTGCAAACATGATAATCAGGAGATGCGTGCCATGAGGGACGATGACTACACGTCAAAATCAAGGCGCTAATACATTTCGATGTGACGCGGTGCGCGTGCTCTCCGGCGTTCATTTCGTCGCGTCATGCCGGCATTGCCACGCCAGGCGCTGGTCATGCCACATACTCGTAGGTGCACGCCGCGCTGCATTGCTTTGACGCATGTGCGTTTCAGTGTGTCCGGCGTTCTCCGTCACGAAAAGAGGGAGTCGCAGTGTTGTCTGGGTAACGCATCGGTGCTAAATGCAGCATGTCGCATTTCGCATCGCTTGCTGTCGGGCCACGCCGACGGATGCTGGTCGTGCCTGGCGTCAGACAATAGAGTGCGCGCGTTTCGCTAACGTAGCGCCGCTGTGCCCAGCGTGCGTGCACGTCAACGCTACATTGGAGTATATTGGGCCCTTCATGATGTGCTCGGGGCCATTTTGCTAGCTCCAGATATACAAAATTTAGTGTTACGTGACATCAATAGATCACAATATATATGACTGGTGCAAACATGGTAACCCTGATACTCGTGTCATGTAAGAACATGACAACATACCACGCTTATAGCGTGCTCGCAGCCTCTTCGCTAGCTCCACTTACTAAATTTGGTATCGCGTGACGTGAATAGATGATGAATGTAAACGACACATCATCATGTCATATCATATCATGTCATATCATAGCAATCATGTCATACCATACCAGGTTTGTAACATGCCATGTGAAAGGAACCACCACAAGATCTGCCGGACCATGGTATGTAAATTATGACATTCATGACTAGTATGTCATCATTTTCATGTTATGACTAGCCAAATATGTTCTCTATACAGTCATGTTATGCCACAACAAGTTTGGTATCCATACCATTATCGGAACGGCCAGGAGAGTTAAAAGTCGTAGGCAGCTAAATAGATAGATAGATAGATGGATAGATAGATAGATAGATAGATAGATAGATAGATAGATAGATAGATATGCTCGAAGTCGCCGAAGTTCACAAGAAATGCTTCGCAATTATTATAGGCAGTGGTCATTACATAGTATGCCCACTATACACACAGACCAGATACGTAAAAAGATTTGCGCATCCAAAACGAGTAATTGGTATGCGTTAAGAAAATGACTGGAAGAATGCTTGACTGCCTCAGATATAGCAAACTTCAGTGATTGGTGTGACAAAATAATGCGTCAGAAAAGATACAGTAAAAAAATACGCTATCAAGAAATGCCCCTGAGTTGGACTAGCACCTACTACATTTTTGGGAAGCAAGAAGAAGCCTTACGAAACGATGTAAAAGACACAAACGTAACCGTAAAATAAAAAAAAATCACAGGTATCATCTAGTGCACAGAGGAATACGTCAATCAACTAGCTGCAACGCATTGGGCCAATTTCTATGGTTCACTCCACGGAACACTGACTATGGCCAAAACATGAAACATACAGAAAGCCATGATGGACCCCACGTAGACAAAAAGTGGAAACAGTAAAGGTATAGAAAGATTGATGCACTCATACCATGGTACAAAAGAGGACCTCATTCAAGCCATACATAAAAAATGCCCTGGGGAAGGCGGCATGACCCCTTCGTAACAAAGAAAGCAAGGATCACCACAACTTGACTTAGACAAGATTTTTACGGACGCTAAGATCAGAGCAGCCATATTTAGTACCAAAAAGAACACAGCGGCGGGTGCGGATAAAATCACCATTGGTATGATCAGGAACCTGAATGACGAAGCCATTAAAGCTCTCTTAAAATATATCAACAAACATCGGCTCGGTGGAGCTATCATACAAGAATGGAAACATGCGGTTGTGGTCATGGTGCTTAAATCACAAAAAAAACTTGCCATTGAGAACATGAAGCCTCTCTTGCTCACGTCATGCTTAGCATAAATCTTTAAAAAACTCTTGAATACCAGGCTCCTCAATCATCAAGAGAAAAACAACCTCATACCTGACACCATGTTTGGCTTTTGCCCATACTTTTCAACGCAAGATGTTCTAACACTCTTAAGGGAACAAGTATAAATGGACATCTCTAAGGTTGGAGAAAACATCGTTATCGCAGTTGACATAAAGGGAGCCTCTGATATCATCAGTCAAAAAGCAATACTTCAAGGTCGTGAGGAAGCTAACTGTAGAGAACGAAGATTCGAATACGTCGAAAGTTTCCTTAGTCACAGCACTGCAATAATCAAGCTGGGAGTTTACAAATCCGACGTCATTGGACCTCCAAACAAAGGAAAACTGCTAGCAGTGGTCATTTCACGGACACTTTTCAACGTAGCCATGGCAGGCGTTGTGGGAAAACTCAAAGATATTGCCCGCCTCCCCCATGTGATATTTGCAGACGACATCACGGTATGGACAGCCACAGGCAACCTAGTGGAGAAAGAAGATAGGTTTCAACAGGCAGGAAGCACCGTAGAAGAGTACGCAAGGGTACGGGGTCTTCAGGGCTCAGCCAAAGTCGGAGCAGATTCGCTTGACGAAGAAAAAAGCACGAAGGATCGACCCTAGTGTAAAGCTTGAGGTCAGGCTTGAAGGAAATTTCACTCCGGAGAAAGATACGGTATGAATACTAGGTATGTGGCTCCAAGCTAATCAGAGATGTCTGCACACAATAAATCCACTCAAAACATCGGTACACCAGGTCTCACGCATGATCTCGCGATTAACAAACAATCATAAAGGAAGGAGAAACAAGATTTCCTCAGATGGGCCAAAAACCTCGTGATCACTCCTGTTACTTTACATATTCGCTTCCGTATCACATTATGAACAGGGAAGAGAAAGAAAAAGCAAACCAAATAATAACAATGGCCTACAAGACAACGCTAAGATTACAGGGGAATACTACAAACGACAAGCTACTGGCGCTTGGTCTTCATAACACAATTGAAAAATTATTCGAGACCCAGCAACTAACGCGAATAAATTGACTTCTCCAGATCTCAACAGGCAGAGCAGTCCGAACAAAACTAGGTTGAAATACATTATTACAAACACACCAAGAAACTAAAGAAGGTACCAAGCTAACCTAGAGAATGGTACACCGTATTGCCAGTACCAACCAACACGGATTCTACTCAGCATGCTGGGAGAAGAATGCGAGCGCTGACTACATTGACAAAATGCCAAGATATATGAACCCAGCCAGATTCACAGACACCGTGACTTATCAGAGCGATGTGAAGAAAGCTGTGTGTGTAGTCACAGACCGTAGAGGGGAAATTACAGCCTGCGCTTCAATAGATCGGGCTTCGACAACACAAGCAGGAGAGGTCGCCATAGCACTTGAAATAAAAGAGAGATGAACGCTATACGCTCCAATAACAACCACAACAGAGTCGAAAAAAGCTTGCAGAAACTATTCGAAGGGTAAAATTGGAGCACAGGCCCTCCGGATATTGGTTGGGACAAGATGGGATCCCACAGTAAAATACGCACACTGTGACTTGGGATCCGGGGCACGAGGGCGTGACAGGGAACATGCATATATATATATATATATATATATATATATATATATATATATATATATATATATATATATATATATATATATATATATATATATATACAGAGAAGAGACACAACTTGCTAATGGCCTCGCCATGGTTGTCTAGTGGCTAAGGTACTCGGGTGCTGACCCGCTGGTCGCGGGATGCAACTCCGGCTGCGGCGGCTGCATTTCCGATGGAGGCAGAAATATTGTAGGCCTGTGTGCCCAGATTCGGCTAGACATCAAAGAACCCCAGGTGGTAGAAATTTTCGGAGCCCTCCACCACGGCGTCTCTCATAATGATATGGCGGTTTTGGGACGTTAAACCTCACATATTATCATGATCAATTTTATTTTCAATGGTTTCAAGCGGTCGACAAGTCTTCGTGAGAGTTGGCGAACCGGACGAATACCGCTCCACTGGTTGAAACCACTGGAAATAAAATTAAGACAACTGCTAGGTTGTGTCTCTGGCAAAATTTGTTTGACCCGTTAGAAAAGCTCTTCTATATATACATATATATATATATATATATATATATATATATATATATATATATATATATATATATATATATATGAGAGAGAGAGAGAGAAGTATACAATATTTAGTGATCGTTGAATAAGCGAACAGCGTACGAGACAGGCGTATTTGGAACTAGTGGAGTAAAAAATTACTCACCTTAGCTCTTCGAAGTAAGTTTCATTGAATGTATATGTAATCGTTCCCCTGCCTCCTAGGTATACTTTTTGCCAAGAAAGGCACTTATGGTTGTTGCTTATATTTCTACGCTTGTCAAGCCACATTTTGTCCCTTGTGTTGAGTACCTATGTGAGATAAATCGCATTTATAATACCATCTGGTAGTATATATTTGCTATTAGTAACTGCCATTCATTTAGAAAAATAAACGTGCTCGAATGCGAGAGTTTAAACTCAGTGACGTGATAAGGTCATGAAATGGGATCTTAGCACGGCTTTTCTTCACTTCTCTTTTTCTATACTGCTCCTGAGTATAACGTTTTCTAGCTTTTAATGCTAGATTAAATTCTGTTAGTGGCAGATTTGGTATGTGCCGCACGGAATTTTGGTGAAAGCAGAGGGTTCAACAATGTCTACAGTTTTGAGGTCTGTAAAATATCAAGGATACTGTTTTCTTGATACCATTGTACCACATTCATTCAAGTGATGTTTTTTTCCTAGCAGTAGCACTCCGCGCAAAAATGTAAGTAGAATTTTGTTGGTTTCACCAAAGTATATGTTTTATAAAGTGAGAACTTGCTCTCTGTCTACGTGAATGAAAACAAATGGATGACTGCGTGTTTAGTTTTATTGGGTTTGTCGAAAAAATATCCAGAGAGTTTATAAATGTAGAAAGGGCATCACATCGATTGAATTTGCCGAAAGACAATGAAAGCTCCGCTTTTATGCAACCCCGTGTACCCTGCCGAGCTGTTCTTTGGATACCTCATGACTCATAAATTGCGTGAACCATTTGCGTGAACTAAAGCAGTTCACGCAAAAAAGATGTCTTATGAATAGTTGACGCATCTTAACTAATTTCCCTAATCGTTTGGAGTTTAGGAAGAACGTAAAATTTTCACCTACATCTTGCGATTGTAAAGTAATTCAAATTGTGCAATTACCAGATTTTCCCGAAAGAAAGCCAATTGAGTGAGAAGCTCAACTTTTGTATTCGTACAAGTAACAAATCTGATACACCATCAGGTTAAGGGAAGCATAGAGAACATTACAGGTGTTTCTTACTTGTATTGCAATATTGCGCACTTACTACATAAGAATGAAAGACGACAAAAAATCACTCTTGCGCGAAAAGGCTTGTGACCTGTGTGCTTGGATTAGGTACACGTTAACGAACCTCAAGTATTAAAAAATTTCGGAGCCCTACACTACACTGTCTTTCATTATCTTCTGTGGTTTCGGGACGTTCAACACCAACAATGATATTGAAAACTACCCTTGCCATCAGAGAGATAGGCCCCCACAACCATGAAATTACGTGACCGACGCTCTACCTTTTGTATTGCGATAAAGAGCGCTCCCTCTTTTACTTACAGCGAAAGCTTTTGTGAGATCAGAACGTGAGTTACGCGCAGCGCCATGGTTGTACGCCACCGCCGACCCTGCCTGTAACGATTATCGCACGGAAAAAAACTCAATAAAAACGCCAAGGACATGTTGTGGTGACCTAGTGGGATTCGAATCTTAGTACCCTGCCTGCCAGCCCAGTATTATACCATTGAGCTACGCCGGTGCTTGGGATTCATTCGCAAGTTTGCCTTAGGCAGGCTAAATGTCGGGAAAATAATCGTGTTATAGGAGTAATAAAGCGTTTAATACAGCAAAAAACAACCAAGCGTCACAGAATGCGAATAGCGTAATGAGTGAGTCGTCTAATGCTCCTATACATTACAAAAGCTTTGTCATCACCTATTACCTGTGGAGTATACACAGTTCAGGCATGATTCTTCATCGTTGTCAGCTACTGAATCTAACACTGAATTCGCACAAACTTTGTTGCAAGGGTTTAGCAGATTTAACACTTCTCCGACCAATAATGAAGAATAGCTCAGTGATTGCCGGTCTGCTGCACTATCATCTATAGCGCAGTGGGTATGCAGCAAGTGTGCTTCTAATATTTACTGAAAGAGTGTTTAGAAAAGGCTCTGCAAGGCTGCTCGTCATGAATTTGTTGTGCCTGTGCTGCGCGGTCTGTGCAGGCCTTGAGATTTCCTATACCTCAAACATGTTAAATTACATTCTTTCCAACGAAAGAGGACTATGTGGAAATGCGAAGTAGCGCTACTGTTAACTTAATTCAATTCGTTGTTTCCTTCTGTGTGTTTCCGTGTCTGTTTTATTTGCACGTGGAGTTGTCGGTATGTTGGGTACTGCTTATGTTACCCCGCCTTTTGTGTGTGCCGCAATGCAGACACCCAGCGCTGCTAGGGGAGTGCAGCAGAGCCAGCAAGGGCAGCATTATATATGAGCGCACAGCAGTGGTGGCTAGATAAACGAGAGAGGAGAAATGAAGCGGAGGCAGTGCCCGGCCACCTCCTCTCGCCTCCTCGCGCTCATGTGATGAGAGGGGGGGGGGGGGGGAGTTGATGCATGGCAACCATGATTGGTCACGCCGGACATCAGAATGAACTGCGCCATAAGCGGCTTCGCATGTAAAACATTGCAAAAAAACTGCACCTCAGTCGTGCCGTTCTTCATTACGTATGGCCTGGTCACTTTACTTACCTAAGCACCAACAAGACGCAATGAGACTGCACCATACGCTGTCTACTTTACTGCAATTCTGCGCATGAATACGTTGATTATTGCCACCCACACGTAGTGGGTCGACAGCAAGAGCGGCTCTCAATCTCAAAAAAAAAAAAAAAAAGATCGCGTGCCTCTTCTCTGCTCGAGAGCCAGCCTCGACTGACGCATCGTCCTAGAGCGAGCTACTCAGTGGGTTAATGCCCCCCCCCCCCCCCCTACTCTCAGCACTTGTGATTCATCGTGACAAACTGGTGGAAATGCTTGGTAGTCTCACGAATTACGATTACGGGTAGTCTCACCGTACTACGAAAGCACGTACACGCCACCACCCTTGCCCTTCGTCCGTTGCGCTTCTGTCGCCGATCATTCGATGCAACCGGTCCAGTACATCGACGATCGTCCCACGTCTCCTCTGAAGTCTGATGTTCGGCGCACACCTGATCACTGGCCTGTATGCTTTCACGGCGGAGAAGCTGATCACTTGTACCGCCAGTGCACATATCGCTGTCTTGCGCTTCGCGGCTTCTCTGCGTACTCGCCGCCACCCCGCTACGGCCAGAGACCACGCGACATCCAAAACTACCTCTCCCAGCAGCATACACCACCATCTACGGGGCACCAGCCGCACTCGCCATCACTGAGGCGATTTCCATCAACGCCCCAGCGGTATTCTACCGCACGGTCTCCCAGCCCCCGCCGGGAAAACTAGCCGGAGTGACCTCTGGGTGTGGGGGTGGGGTCGCTGAACGTCGATGTGTTGCCCGAAATAAATTTAGAACACCTCCTGCATCAAGGCATCTGTGTAGCCAGAAGTGCAATACACCTTCGTGATGACCGATGTGAATTGCTTGTTAGCAACTTTAGCAACGAGCATCGACACGTTTTCATTGGTACTTCGATAGCGTTTGTGTACGAAGTAGCAAACTTCATCAACTGTCTCACGTCAGAACTAGCGGATACCGCAGACACGTCAATGAGTAATATTGACATCAATCCTGATCTGCCCACCGATAACCAGACTGCGCTGCGAGCACTCTTGTTCGAGTTCAGGTCTTGCTTCGCAAGTTGCTCGAAGATCCGCCATACGTCCATCACTCAACACAGGATCACCACGTACGAGGACGCACGCCCGATATACCTGCACCCCTACCGCGTGTCGACTAAAGAACGTGAAGCGTTACGTACGCAAGTCCACGAGATGCTTGAGGATGGCGTTATCGAACCATCCAACAGCCCATGGTCATATCCAGTCGTGCTTGTCAAAAAGAAGGACGGGTCGCTACGCTTCTGCGTCGACTACCAAAAGCTTACAACATGATCAAAAAAGATGTGCTCCCGCTGCCGCTAACGACGATTCGCTGAATATACTTCGTCGTGCCCACTATTTTACTTCTCTCAATCTCAGAAGCGGGTATTGCCAAATAGAGGGAGATCAGCGAGACCGCGAAAAACAGCCTTCGTGACTCCAGATGGCCTGTACCTATTTCGAGTACTCCCTTTTGGCTTTTGTTTTGTGCCAGCAACTTTGCAGCGAATGATGAACACTGTCCTCACAGGGCTCAAGTGGCAGACTTGTCTACTTTGATGATGTGGTGGTCTTGTCATCCCACGTTGGAGCAGCACCTTCACCGCCTGCGCAGCGTGCTGAAGGCTGTCCGATCGGCGGACCTCACACTAAAGCCACAATAGCGCCACTTCGGCCACCTTCGGCCACTTCGGCTAAGAAGAACTCAAATTTCTTGGACATGTAGTTAGCGCTGAAGGAGTCCGGCTCGATCCGGCCAAGCTTGCTGTTGCCGAATTACCAGCTCCTGTCGATAAGAAAGCCGTCCGGCGCTTCCTTGTTTTGGTGCCTACTATCGCCGGTTCATTCACAGCTTCTCACACATAGCAGAACCTCTGATTCGTTTCACAATGGACGACACGGCGTTTGTCTGGTAAAACGAGCAACAAGCAGCTTTTGATGAGCTGCGACAGCGCATGCAATCAGCACCCGTTCTCGCTTATTTAGACGATGATGCTGACACGGAGGTTCATACAGACGCCAGTAACATTTGGCTCAGTGCAGTGCTCGTTCAGCGTCAAGAGGACACCGAAAGAGTGATAGCCTACGCCAGCCGCTCTCTATGCCTTGCCGAGGCGGATTATTCCACTACGGAGAAAGAGCGCCTCGCAGTCGTGTGGCCAATCACCAAGTTTCGCTCGTACCTTTATGGTCGTCCCTTCAAGATAGTGATGGACCACCACGCCCTCTGTTGGTTGGCAAGCCTGCGGGAGCCTTCAGGACGGCCAGCACAGTGGAGCTTGTGGCTGCAGAATTTTCACGTTGCCATCGTCCATAAGTCCGGTCGTAAGCATGAAGACGCAGACACAGTGTCACGCGCACCCCTTCAAGTTGTCAGCCAGGAAGCAGAGGAAGATGAAGGCTTCCTGTGCGCCATTAGCTCATCAGACTTGAGCAAATGGCAGCGAGATGACGCAGAGATTCGTCCAATCATCGATCATTTAGAGGGACAGGTGCAATCATATCACCTAAT